TAGAAACAAATCTCTTAGAAAGAGTTAATACAAGTACCTATAATAAACTTATCTGATAAAAGCAGCTCAAAATGCTGAGACTTTAGGACTTGTGAAATTGTTGCACGCCAAGTCGCGACAGCTAGGTACACTGATCTATATCACCTTTGCTGAATATTTTAACAGAATAGTTAAGCAACTTATGTAACTATCATAAATTGGCTCAAACTATTAAAAACCTGTTTACTAACTTGTTAACATCTTACTAAGTTGCCAGCCGCATGTGACTATCGCAAATTGTCGCCAACTCTCCAGGATCTTCCGTCCGATCGCAAAAGCACTTCCTAGCTAACTGATGTGATTTGCATATCATTAGTTTAATAGCGCCGAGATTCCTCAAGGTATAAAGCCCTTCGGATACTCGATTGGAATATCGAATGCAAATTTATGGCTTTCGCAATGATGTGTGAAAAAAAAGAAATCGCATAACTTGAAACAAGCATGACTGCTAGAGATAAATTTAATCATCCTGAAAACAGAATTAAGCAGTATATCAAAATTTGAAATAGATTCTGTTTTTGAGAAAACGTCGACAAAATGTAAATATTAACTGATCACGTCAAAAACCGCAGCCTAAAATAAAAGTCTAAATATTGAGACAGATTACTAACGCCCCATGGTTCATAAGCAATAAGACTTTACACGACGATCTTCACATTGAATTTATAAACAGAGTAATAAAAAAAACAGTGTCAAACATTTTCAAAAACTAGCACATCATCCAAATTCTATAGTCACTCAGCTCCTTGAGACACCAGAAGATTGAAGAAGAAGCAATAATAATATTGAGGACCTTAAGCCTCATAACCTACCATATCTTTGCATATAATAACAGTATTGGTGAATTAACTTATTGGAGTGATTTTCCACATATGGATATAATATTCTACACATAATTTATATGTGTGTTTAAAAGTGTGTATGGATGTGTGTGAGTGAATAATAAAAGCCAAATAGCTCATAGAATTGTACAGTATTCTGATTTCTATTGAAAATAAAATTAAAAAAATAAAACGCATTTACCAACGTTCAATTTTAAAAATAAATGACTTATTGTAGGGTCGAAAATGAACTTGAAACTTCGAAGAAACATAAAATAAGCAACTAGATTTTATTGGCAAAGGCGTAAACTTATTTTCTGGAAAGTTAAAAAGTGATCTATTTGAATAAACAAATTTTTAATTCTTAAATATCTAATATATTAAAATCATTGATCATCATGAACTGACTATTGAAACAATTAATATGCAACACTGTCGACTTACGTATTGTGCGCGGCTTGTTTCAAAATTTTAATTATTTTTATGATTAAACCGCTACCTATATGCCTATAATATTATACATTGTTTGGTTTGGTCATCAACCTTATTACCACGCGGAGTTAACAAAAGCCCAGGAAAGTAAACCTGAGGGTCTCTCCTTGGTTGTAACACTCCATTATATGAATAAATATTAGTGATACTTGAGACGTATAATTGACATACATGTTCCTTTGAAATTTGAAAAAAAAAGTGTTAACTTTTTGTCCACATTTAAGCTCATACTACCAAATCGATTTAAAAAAATCTAAAACTGTTTGAAAGATATTAGTTAGGAACGATACTGATTAGTTTTAGGTGGAAATCTACCTTAGCCGTTTTCTTGTAATTAACTGTTGAAAAAAAATTGAACCGATTTTTATGGAACTTTTTTTGGCGATATATATCATGGTCTTATAAAACTTGCTGAAATATTACGGCCTTACGACAAGTAGTTTAATTTTTAAAATTCATCAAAGCTTGGGAAAATGAGTAGTTTTTTGACGTTTGTTCAAATTAAAATTAGACAATTTACTTGAATAGATAGAGTGAATTTGCTTTTAAAAAATACTTAGTAAACGTGTTCGTTCGTTTTCATACTTTAATCACTCATAAATTAATTGATTTTTTATTGATTGAGTCGATTATTTACACATATCGGGAAGTTCATGTAACTTGCCTCAAGGCAAAATACCAACACCGACTAGTTAAAATTACATACACACATCGACGTGCATACCTATACATACAAACTTACAATCGACAAGATCATTGCATTTACAAAGTAGCATTTAATTTTTATAACTGCACTCTGATATTAGGATATTGATTGTCATGTCATGAGTCTGATGCAACGAAGTTGAAAGATTTGGTAAAAGGCAACGTCAATTACAGATGTCTGACACAAACAACACATTTGCAGTATGCTCAAAAGCTTAGCCTATCAGTAACCAAACCTGAAAATTACATGCATTAGGCTTATGGCGTCCCCTAACATCTAGCCATAATTGAAAAGAAACAAAAGTGATCTTAGCAATTGCAATCATCTTTTGTTAATACGTCGTAACATATTGTTTTATCTCTCAAGTTTACGTGTTCGTATTTTCAGATCAAATTAAATCATTATCGATGTTGAATAGTGTTTTAATCGTTTATAAAATTGATATATAGTTTGTAAGACTATATAATTGGTGACCCCGACGTGATATATAAGACTGACACGGCTTGTCATATATGCGTGATATAAAAATGTGTTTTCCAGGAATTTTGGCAAAAAAAAAACATTAATACATTAAGTTTCATTGATAAATATTTAATCAAATTGTCTTATAAAGTTACGATGGCCAATGTGAATTCTCAAGTGAGCCGCAAAAAACAGTTTACGAATCAATTACCAATGATTTCTATCCATAGATCAATACATGTCGTTGTGTCAATGAGCAAATAGTATAGTTTTTGACCTGCTTAGCGGTCTGTTGGCGTTATTGGCGTGTCGGTCTAGGACACGCAATTAAGCGGCAGCCTGTACCTAAAACCGAGATCAAATGTGTGGACTCTAATTGATCCGCGTACGCGTACGCGATTGATTCCAATGGCGCGCGGGAGAGCTTGAAACGAAATCCGGCTGTCGATGCTGAATATGTCGCGCACACAACGATTTCGTACGTTCAATTCCGCGTTTGCATAGTCCGGATGCGTTTGTCACTCACCTATGGCTATGGCTATGGCTATTTCAATTTGAAATTTGGTTGGATTTTGTTAGGTCTAATTCGGTTTGATAATTTAGTTCACTGTCGGCAATGTCCGATTCGAGATTAGTATGTAATAAACTACATACCCCGCAGATTTGAAGTTGAACGAGAATCGAAAATCAATTAGTAATTGGTTGAATATTATAAGCACAACTAATGTGATATATATGATAATTACTTAGTTATACTAATTTTTTATACTGTTTTTAGATCCACTGATAATGACATTAAATTGAATGTCGAAACGTTTGGAATTAAAGATTAATTTATAAATGTTTGCTTTTTATTCTTTAATGTATCTCCCCACAAGAACTTACTCATATATCTCAACATCAAAAATAACAACTAAATCATATATATATATATATATATATATATATATATATATATAATAGAGCTTCGAAAATAGAATTCAAATGTAATATAAAACAGCAGTTTTTTTTTTTTTTTAAAAAAACAATTTATTTATTTATTTACTGTCTATGTTTCGGAACTAATTACTTTCCATTTTCAGGACATCTGTTCAAAAACATGATTTTGATAAGATTTAAACAAACAATATATTTAAGCTGCGTGAAGTGTACATGGTGGATTTTTTATATAAAATTAACAAAATTGTGGAAGAAATAACATTACAGAAATATGGCAATATAATCAAAATGAAAGTAATAAAAATAAATGAGTAGATTATATAACAAAATATTAGAAATGTTAGAAAATTAGAGAGTTTTTAGAAAGAGGCTTAAGAAAAAATGGAATGAATTACCTGTATGTTTGATTATACACGATAAACAATTTTATAAAAAAAATTTATAAATTTGTTTTCAGACGAAGAAATAACTTTTGTAAGTTAAATATTAATATGTAATTATTAGTAATATATTGTATATATAATATATTGTATATTAGTAATGTATAGTCAAAAAAGTATTATTTCCTCGATGTCATGGGATAACTATTTCGTAACAAACTGATTATTGAACAGGTGAATTTTAAGGAGAATCACTTGACTTAAAATATGTGTGTATTTGCGTGTGTGTGTTTTATAAAGATGTAAATACTTGAATTACTGATCTTAAATAGACGTCGATATTATAAAGTACATAAACAGAAAAGTAATTGGAAAAGACAGACGTGTAAATCTGATTTTTTTTTTTAATTTGTTTGTCAAAATGTGTACAAAATTTAAATAAGAATCATATAACAGGTTGTGATCTAATCTAATGTTAATGTATTAAATCTTCCCAAAAAAAATATCTATTACTCCGAGATAAACCCCAACTCGATTTAAGGAAGAATGATGTAATAGATTTTTCATTGCCATTGCCAAAGGAGCTACTTTCAATTGAAAACATTTATTTTATCTAAATTTTCAAGGGAAAATGGATATTGGTACTGCACGATGTCAGGTCGTCCAGAGCCGAGTTCAAACTCACGTCCCCGTCTACACGTGTCTGTGAGCTAAACCATTACACCATAGAACACCCAATATATATATATATATATATATATATACATATATATATTATACAAAAGTATAATATGTATTTTCTTCCAAAACTTCTTACAGATGATTGACGACTTATGCGAGAAAAGAAAACTCAAAGAATGGAAAGTCGAGGCACAGGACAAGGAAACATGAAAGCAGAAGTTTAGATATAAAAATAGAGAAAAACAACAAGAAACGAGTGAGATAAAGGGTTGGAAAATGAGGTATTTTCACAACATGGATCAGTATTCGGACAGTAACAATAATAATGATACTATGAGCTTTATGTGTTCATTGAAATAAGTATCAAAAATATATATTCTATTATATTTATGCCATGAGATGTTCTAATATTTCAATTATAATTACATATAATGCACTAAATAAATAAATATATTATAGTTTACAAACCTACATGAAAACGTATATTTATCAATTACAGATTTATAAAACTACGTCGACTTGATTCATAACGTAAAAGCCAATAAAAGCGAGTGCTCCACCGCCGTTCTATAGAACATCGGATATTTTTCTCGGCTTCGGCTTTACGCAGAATTTCCATTTCCCAGTAGAATAGACCTTATGGCATTATCTTATTTTATTTATCTATGTCTTTATGCGCAGGTAGGGCAATGTTCCCATATGAAATACTAGAAAACGCTACGTGCAAAAGATGCTGCAATGGAATATCGTATACTAGGGTAAATCATGCTATTGTACGTACTAAATAACATATGTAATCTGAAAAAATATATTATTAAATGTTTTTTGAATTTAAAGCTAAGTTGACAGAAAATTTTAATTTTCAGTTATATCCACCTATATAATAACAAAATAAATAGAAAGAATAAATAAATTTAAAACATGTTAACACTATGCTGAAGGATTTATATTATACAATTGTATTTTTATAATTAAATTATAAATACGCATTATGGATGATAAATATTTTAATCAAATTGTGTATATATTATTTTTGGAACACACACACAAGTATATAGCGATTTTTATGTTTTGGATTAAATATATTTGCATTTAAATACCATAATACAACAAATTAATAGCTTGAACGTGGCTATACATTTGATAATAGTCATATGCCCAATATTATGATAATATTAAACCTATTACACAAAATAATATAATTAACATATAATATATTTTACAAACACAATGTACAAATTAATAATATATTGCACCGCGATTAAAACAAACTAATATATTATCCTAAAATAAAAATATTTAGTAACTGATTATTTGTGAGTTTAAATATCAGCCAAATTTATCATGTATGAAAAAAGTTATCTAATAAGTTATATTAAAATCAATGCCACTGATTCACGAATAAAATTGTGGTTGAATTCAGAATAAAATCACCGGGCTCCATGTTTTTGTAGGCAGAGAAGTCGACGTGGAGAAAGATTGAATTCGATTATTTAAATCATGTTATGATATAAGAAAATGAGAAGTAGCTCGTAAAATATGCAAATGTGTGATGTATAAGAATATTTTTCTACTACGCGTCGTGCTTATGAACACCTAATTTGCTATTTAAACATTACTTGTTCATTTCATCAACATAACGATTGCAAATAGATAAATGCAAAGCTGGGTACTATTGTAAAATTATATTTTATGAAAAAATCATTAAAATTTTTACAATTTATTCAAAAAGTATATGATAAATATGAAAGTACTACAGTGTATAAATTTACAATGTAGCTTTGGTAAGGCTGGTTTCTAATTGTGTATCTAAGCATGTTTGTCATATGTCATATATATATATATATATATATATATATATATATATATATATATATATATGTGTGTGAGAGAGTGTGTGTGTGTGTGATATTTTTATAGGCATTGAGCCTCAGGCTTTTAGATTTTTCATAACAAACACGTAGCTAAGACCGTAGCAAAGAGCGCCGAACCAGATTGAAAGCTAATATTGACCATCTAGAACACGCTTTTCTAAGAGATTGATATGAAGGCCACACAAAACAAAATATATTGATTTTGAATTTCAGAATAAAATATACAACGTTAAACTATGTTAAAAACCTTATATCTTAACCAATATTCATAATCATAGATGAAACGTTTTATGATAATGATATGATTAATTTTTTACTCATAAGACAACTAACTTGCCGAAGAGAAGTTCGTTTTTTATAAAAATTCAAATTTGCCTAATTTATGTTTTCTCTGAATTTGAAGTTAATTAGATCATTTTATACCAAAATTAGAACTACGTGTCTGTGGCATTTTAGCACTAAGCAAACTCGCTGCAAAAACTTCCGAATATGTGTGAATAACCCAAAATTAGACACAATTGCACATTTCTGATAATTGTAAACAAAGGGATCGTCTGATCGATCTGCAAAACTAGTCCATACGAATTTATCGAGTTAAATCAAAATGCCTGAAAAGTCTTTAAGAAATTTTTATGGAAACGTTGTTGAAAGGTTCAGTACACTCATAAAATAGGTAAGTTTTAAATACTTTATTTAAACCATAATGCTACTTACACCCAGTTTAAATATTTATTCAAAAGCAAGCCGTAGAAAAGAATGATTTATATAATTACAGACTTTTGTCAAATTAAGTATAATTATCTCAAACTATATAATTTGTGAACTGAAGATATTTTTTCTTACGTTTTACATTTTAACTATTTTTTTTAAATAGTTTGTAATTCTCAAAATTTTTATATTTTCGTATTATTGATAAAAAGATACAACTTTGCATGCTCCTTATTTAGAATAATACTGCTGTAAGTGTACGATAAAATTTATTACTTTTGCATCGTGATTTAACAACTGACATCTTTTCTATTACTACACGTCAAAATTATTTACAACATATTATATTCACCTGCGAGAAACTTTACTATCACATTTTTAATTGCGAATTTAGTCGACATGTGTGTTTGTGTTGCTCCTTTGGCCTTGTGTTAAATTCAATTTAAACTGTTTTTATGCTCGACGTATGTTTCATTTATTTTTTTGGTTCGCCATTCGCTGCGTATACAATTAATTTCTCTGTGTTTTCAGTCTGCAAGCAACGGATTAATTAATTACAGAATTCGCAGCCAGAAATGAAATAATTATAAACGTGTATGCAACAAAAAGTTTATTGCAGAAATATTGTAGAATGAGTTTAAATTATCATGACATTGGTATAAAACAAACATGAAAATAAATTAATTCGCACAATCTTTTGAATAGATGTTGATTTCATTGTAGTTTGAAATTTAATTTTCCGTTGATAATTGGATTTCTTTTGTTGCTAGTGAGGAATAATATCACATTACATATTTTAAACGGACTCAAGCGAGGAGTAAGAGATATAAGTACATGAAAACAAAAGTTTATAATTAGTGCTTTATTAAAATTAATACCATATAGTAGGGTAGGGCGGGGCACAAGGGTCCAATTTGACTTTGAGCAGTAGTATATACGTTCATGTGGCGCTTTTTACCCCAAACAAATGTAAGCTGTCTATGAACAAAACTCTTGAATCTAACTTGAACATAACAATGCATCTCATAAAAAAACTAAATAAAGCATACAGCGATATTATATTCAGGTACCGTAAACTAAACAACCGTGCTCAAAAACAAATAGACAAAAAAAAACTTTTGTTACAAAATTTACAATGTTATCTTTACACATTTTTTGCCTTCTACTTTCAAATATTGTGAAAAAATACAAACTTTGCTCGTTTTTCAGTTATTGATGATCGACTGAATAACGAATGAATAAAATTGATGGGAAGTTGCGTCACATTTTATTCAAGTCAAATTAATTAAACGATACTGACCAATTATCGTATTAAATTATGAATTAATTTTGTTTAATATATTTCATTTTTCTGTCAAAAATCTAAGAAGTATCATAGCCGAACACTGATTTCCATATAACTTATTTCCTATAATTTAACATATAACCTATAATAACACGGGCAACATTTTTAAAAATAATTTATACGATATATTATAATTGATAGGCTGCAAAAACAAAAATATAGCTATCTTCATTATGTAATTAATTAATATTCATTATTCAGTTTTATAATGAAATCAAGCTGCATAATCGCAGTTTGAGCTGGTATAAAATATAAAGCTGGCGTAATAGTTGAATATATATGCAAGCAATATTTTGACTGAATGTACAGGTTATTATAAATGATATAGTTATCCACATGAATCATCTCAATCAACTTTGACACAATCGGATATAGATAAAAAATATATTTCTGAACTCACATATAATACTTTCCGAACATGCAAGTTACTAAATACATCAACAATACCATTCAATCAACATAACGGATATAGCAAACGCTAAATAATTTCAATAAAATATTTTCCTTATAATATATGTCATTTGTATGAAACCAATTTATTGGATACAGCATTACACATGATGTAATGCCAGTGAATTACCATATCACTTACAGAATCATTTCATTTCTACAGAAAAACAAACCCCTCGTCGTATAATAGAGCATTGGAAATGCGATATCATGTGGGTCCGCATCAATATTTTCCTCGTAGGTTATATTTTCCGCCGCCCTACCCGAAGCTACTGATAGATTAGATCGGAGGCCACCGCAACGGTATAAATTACCTCAGAATGCATATTGCCTTGATATACATACGTAATGCTTTCAATTACCATATATTAGACGGGATCCAGTGAACTAGGCACCAGCTGCCATTAGAATCATTGGCAAAAACGGTTTAATTAATTTTCACGTACATTTTAGTGTTGATGGCGCGATTTCGGGCATGTAATATAGTAATTGAATTAGCTATAACATACGATGACAGTATTAATTAATTTGTCAACTATTTAAATTTGAATTCAATAGGGCATAGGTAAAAGCATGAATTGAATATTTTGCATTCAAATTTGAATATATTATTGAAATCGTTGATGTAAATTTTATGACCATTTGAACTAAACTTATATTTGAAAGAATAATTAATACATTTTAGAGGTAGAAAAATTTCTGATATAACATCATTGTTTGATGAAAGAAAATAACTAGAACCTCCTTTGTTGCTGAAACATTAGTTTTAAATTTATGAGATTCATTAAGATAGTATTTAAAAACTTTTTTATGTACCAATACATTTAGATGCA